AGGGTGTCGTACTCCAAATACGACCCCAACAAAAGGGGCCCTAATATAGAGCTACCCATATGGGCATTTCCCAAAAAAGGGTTACCCCTACTATACCGCAAATACTATCATCCCTACAATGGGAACCCCCAGAAAGGATATCCCCATCATAGCAAACAGCCATTTCTGTTGTTTCCATTTCTTTCCCTTGTTAGGTTTCAGTGGATTTTAGGTTGCATTTGGACTCCCAACCCCCTTACAGCCCAGGATCAGGTCTGGAAAAGGCCCGGAACTGCACAGGTTTTGGGGCTTGGGGCCCCGTCAGCGCTTAGATGGCCGTGCTCGCTGCACGGTCAGACTCCCATGTTGGTAGGGGAGACGGCGAAGAGGCCAAGTGAGCATCGCTACTTTAGGGAAGTAACCCTAAACCCTAAATCCTAAACCCTAAACCCTAAATCTTAAATCCTAAATCTGCTTGTTGAGACCCTTCTCCGAAGTCCTCAAAACGCCGGGGTGTCTACACCCATTAATTCGCGCTGAAGGATAGCTGCGCAGCAGGGCCGATGTCCATGTTCTTGGCTTAGCAAATGGATGAACTTGCCAGGGGGTTCCTTTTCGTAGAATAGTATTATAGGAGAGTCACGTTCTTTCTGGGATACGCCTAGACCTTAACCCTAAACCCTAAGCACTAAACCCTAAACACAAGGCTCTGTATCAGAACACCCCCTGGTTCTTGGGAATGAGGGAATTCGGGCCCATACATACCCTTTAAGGGAGTATACAGGGTACCTGGGAACGATCAGGTCTCGGGTTTAGGGGGATAGCGTCTGCCCGAAGCCCTAAATTCCAAACCCTCAGCCGCGTTTGCGATGGTCGCGGCCCTGCGGCGTGCTCTTCGGGAGCATCAGGTGTGTCCAGCAGGCTGTGTCATCTTTGTCATAGTTGGGTACCATTTTACATTTTGAAGGTTACTTAAAACCCAATAAGGAATAAGCATTTTAAATGTATAATATTATCCTAAACGTGAACTAGTCATGGACAAGACTGCCGTGGATGCATCGGCTCTAAACTCTATCTTATAGGCTTTATGTGGGTGAAGAGGGGCACATAAACACTCCGGGTTTCTTTACCGTGGCCTTAGATCTTTAGCCTCTTGGGCTTACTTAAAAAGGCAGCTTAAAAAAACGATGGTGCCGAAGTGCATCCGAAAATAATTGCAGCAGGGTTTAGGGTTTAGGGGGGTTTCGGGTTTGCTGCAAAAAGGTTGGCTTCGGGTTTGGGGACCCACAGGTTCAGGTATTTGCCAACATGATCCCCTCCCCCCTTGTTTGCTGAGTGTATCACTCGAAGTAGTCACAAACCCTAAGCCCCAAAACCCTAAACCCAGCCGTACACCCTAAACCCTAAACCCTAAGCCCTAACCCCTGAACCCTGAATTTTGAACCCTTCAGGGCCTTGAGGGGCCTTTCGGTCTGCGCCTGCAAGGGCACATGTGATGCACTGGCCACTGCTTGAGTGAGTGGCGATGTCAGACACGGGGCGCATCAAACAGGCTCTAGGGTTTAGGGTTTAGGGTTTAGGACTTAGGACTTAGGGTTAGGGTTTAGGGTTTAGGGTTTAGGGATTCTTGAGGGCTCATGGGTAGGTATAAGCGAATTACGGCCATAATGCAGGCTGCCTTGCTTTTAACTCACCAACAACCACCCATGAACCCTCAAGTACACCCGAACCCAAACTTCATGTCACTCAGAATTCTTGCGGTTTGCACTAGAGCTTGGGCAAATTTGCGCCCTACACGTAGCAAATCTGGAAACTCTATCAGCCCGAAACCCTATGCAACAGCCCCAAAAGCTCTAAACCCCAAACCCTATACCCCAAACCCTACAAACCCTACAAACCCTACAAACCCTACAAACCCTACAAACCCTACAAACCCTACAAACCCTACAAACCCTACAAACCCTACAAACCCAAGCCCTAAACCCTAAACCCTAAACCCTAAACCCTAAACCCTACAAACCCCGTTCTACAGGAGTTGGGCCTGCCCATCGCTTTGTCGCCAGTGCTGCATTAGCCAGATACGAAGGGCATATTGGGTTTAAAAGTTTTAGGGTTTAGGGGTTTTAGGGGTTGAGAGTTTTTTACGGTTTAGGGTTTTAGGAGGGTTTGTGGGTGTTTAGGGTTGAGGGTTCTGTGTTTAGGGTTGAGGGTTCTGGCATCTGATGTTGCGCAGAAGTGCTTTTATGGTGACAAAGGGTGGGGAAGCCATCAACATCTCCCTAGCAACAAGCATGAACCTTAAGCATAGAAGCTTTCTGACCCTAAACCCTAAACCCTAAGCCCTAAACCCTAAACCCTAAACCCCAAACCCCAAACCCTAAACCCTAAACCCTAAACCCCTGAACCCTAAACACCCAGGGACCGAAGGTGGAAGGCTTAGGGTTTTCGGGGGTTCAGGTCTTGTAGGATGTAGGGCTCATGGGGTTGGGTTTAGGGTTTAGGGTTTAGGGTTTAGGGTTTAGGGTTTAGGGGATAGTGTTTAGAGGGTGTTGTTGGGTTCGTAGGGTTTTTAGTGCTTCGGGCGTATAGGATCTCGGGCTTGTAGGATGCCGGGTTTGCAGGGGTTTGGGGCCTATCAAGGCCGTATAAGGTTGAAGGCTAGTTGAAGGGCTTGTTGGTTTGTAGGGGTTCTAGGGCTTATAGGGTTCCTAAACCCTGACCCCTAAACCCTAAACCCTAAACCCTAAACCCTAAACCCTAAACCCTAAACCCTAAACCCTAAACCTTTGGTTTAGGGTTTAGGGGCCTCCTTTTGCCAAGGAAGCTGGGAGCTTGGCGCGGCATGTCGCCAGACCTCGACCCCTGCTGTGGAGGCGCGGGGGGCCCACTACTTAGAGGACTTGACTTGGGTTTAGGGTTTAGGGTTTAGGGTTTAGGGTTTAGGGTTAGGGTTGAAAAGGGTTAGGGTTTAGGGTTGAGGGTTGAGGGTTAGGGTTTAGGGTTTAGGATAACCCTAAATAGCCTGGTAGCCCAGTGGTACCCTTTTCCTTTTTTTGGTTCAAGGTTCCCTTATACATTAACCAACCAAAAAAGGGTGCCCTTCTTAAAAGTATGGTTTCTGGGGTACCAGGATAGTAAGTTCGGTCCCCCAGCCCCAAGCCTCGCGTCTGGTCTAGGGTTCAGGGCTAGGGTTTAGGAATCTACGCTAATTTTGAACTCTGTGGCTCAACCCTACACCTTACTACCGACCTAAAACCTGAGCCGGAAATCCTAAACCCTGTGCTGTTTAGATCTTCGGACTTCATATACTGGAAAACAAGGGGAGGCGGGGGGGGGGGGGGGGGAGGAAATGCATCTCGTCTTCCAATCCGGTATAAACGACTTTTCCAAAGGAACGCCTTAGCTTACTTGAGGGTTCATGGGTAGTGTCAAGAAGGGTTTAGGGTTAAGGGCTACTACTTGAAGGTTCATTGGTGGTGATAAGAAGGGTGATATGTAGGGCAGCCCACGTTAAAACCTGAATTCAGGTACTTGTAGCTCACC